ATGTCAGTCATAATTTCATGTCCCCGATATACCCTACCATTCAAAAACATTAACTCAGCCAGAAAACCACCCAACACCTTTTTGTTTGCCTGTCTATGGTGAGGAAAAACTTGGGTTCTTGAACATGTATGTTTATCAATAAAAGTCCTAACTTGAAACATTTCGTAATCTTTTATCCTCTTTGCAATCATACGCCACATACAGTTTTTGTCAATCATACACCTTGTTTCGAAACGATCTTTGCTTGATTTGTTAACTTTTAGTTGATAGCCATCTTCCACACATTTCGTATACAAAGCTATCTTCAAGTCTTCCTTTGTATCAAAACAATCATCTTTCTTGATACGAATAATTTTTGTGTAACAATCAACTGCTATCTTTACCAACTCTTCTTCCGGTATCTGAAGTAATTCTGACATATTCCAGTTATACTCCCGTGGCATTTTATTCGGAGACTTTTCTTTGGGGATTTCTTCTTCTTTTTCTTCTTCAGTGTTATATGAATTACATAATGGATGTTCAACATGTTCATTTACAGTCGTAACTTCCTCCTCATTATCATCAACAACATCTTCCTCGGCAACGGCTGTTTCATCATCAAAATTCGGGTATTGACCAATATCAAAATCATTACACGCAGGGTCTGTTTCTTCTTCTGAAAAATCATCAAAATCCGAGTATTGACCAAGATCAAAGTCCGGGTATTGACCAAGATCAAATTTCGAATACTGACTAGTACTCACAATTTTTTCTGTTGGCTCATCATCGTCTAACTGGTCAATACGAAAACCGGAATTTGGTGCTGAAAGTTGATTGGGATTTGGATTAGGGAAAGATTGTGGGTTTTGAGATTGTGTTTGGTATTGGAAATTTGGTGAAACAATATTTACTTGGTGATGAAATTGTGGTTTGAACCATTAAATTTTGAGCACCATAAACTGGGGTTGAAAAACTTAGTTGATTACTACCCGCTACTGACCTAACTTCACTACTTCTAGGGTTAACAACATACAATATAACATCATCACTTGAAACACTAATGTAAGCAATGAATCGTTCAACATCTTCATTGTCGGTTAACAAATAAACTTTACCATTTCTCTGATAAGATAGCCTAAATCCACTTAAGGGCTCTAAATTCAATTTATTTGCAACACGTAACATTAGAGTTTCATAAGTTAACTTTTGTAATGACAGTTTTAGTTGAAGATTCATGGGTAAAGACATATATTGTAAAACACCATGAACATTCTCTCATGACCCTCCAAAACACAAATCTATCCAAACATGATCAACATTAGATGATTTCATTATTGTAAATTAATTTACTAAACAAACGAACTGCGAAACTAAAACCTGTTACCGGATGGGAAAGGATGTCGTTGGATATAAGAACGGATGTCGCCGGAGAGAGTGATAGATGGAGATAGAATGAGTTGCGATTTAGGGATTTAGGTTATGAGTTGCTGCTGCTGTGTAGTTATATGCCCAAAACATTTGTGTTGCGAAATTAAAACATGTTACGAATTCAGAAATCGAGTTTCGAATTTGAAATTCAGTATTGCGATAGTCAGAATCTCGTTGCGATTTACGTATTCTCGTTGCGATTTACAGATATGCGTTGCGATTTACGTATTCTCGTTGCGATTTACGGATACGCGTTGCGATTTTACGTATTGTCGTTGCGATTTACGGATACGCGTTGCGATTTTACGGATACTCGTTGCGATAGTCAGAATCGCGTTGCGATTTATATGTTCGCGTTGCGATTTTCATATTCGCGTTGCGATTATGGAAAATCGTAATGCAAATTTGTACTATCGCATTGCGATTCTGGGAACTGATTTGCGATTCTGGAGATTGCGTTGCGATTTTTATTTCGCATTGCGATTTTGTTGGTCATTTTGGTAAATCTATAAAAAATTGATTAAAATCATATATTATAAGATATTTTTGGTCACTGAGACGATTTTCTAAAAAAAAAAAAAAAAAGTCTTTAAGCTAGACTCTCTCTCTCTTTCTTTCAACCCCCCACCAGCAAGTACTTACTGGCCCCCTCGACCTCCATGTACTCTCAGTTTCGTGATGACTACAAACGTTTTAACCATGTGTCCAATGAGCATGCAAATGGAAGAGAAGTGGACAGTTTCGTTTACATCGCCGATTAACTCTGCAATCTCTTCTTTGACTGAAATTTCAGAGAATTTTACTAACACCATTCTTTTCTCCTTTCCTCGGGAAACGTTAAGTACTAGGTGGTTGTTTTGGCCTATTCCATGCACGTCAATAGCCTGCAACTCTAGCTTTCTCCGCCAACATAATGTTTTGTTTTAGGCTTGGCTGCACCCTTACATGGTGGGGTTGATCATCATTGTTAAGACCAGTGATACTGCTAAAGCTGGGTTTATTATGTGTCCATTGTTGATTTGTTGAAGCATCACATAGCTTATAGCATGCCCTACATCTGGATTACTCACACTAACTGCCACCAGATCCTTCCTACCCCCTCCTTTTCCCAACTTTGAAATGCATGAAACCAAAATTCAATTAATTTACAGGTCAGTTATAGTTTCACAAACTAAATGGCAGTTTTTTTTCCTTCTAAAGAGTATCGTTTCTCTATCTATTTTATTGGGAAGTTATGTTGCATCACACCTAATTTAAGATTAAGAAACGGAATGGAATGTGCGCCATCGAAAATATTATTAAAAATATAATATTTTCAGTTAAGTGTAACTTAAAATTTTAATTTTTTACCAATTTTGATTGAACTGAAAATATTATGAGAAAGGTGTGCAACTGAAAAATGTTAATAAAAAATTAATATTTTAGGTCGTGTCCTATATAAAATGTTATGCTTTGAACAACATTTTCGGTTGTACTCCTCCAATGTAATTCCTTAGCCTTAAATTAGACTAGCATCCCTAAGACATTCTCACTTTATTGGGTTGATATTTAAATTATTTTTCATCACTTTTTTTTCACCTAATTTAATTTAATTTTTATTTTAATAAAAATCATATATTTTATTTTATTTTATTTCATTTTCATTTTAATCAAAATCGTTAATTTATTTGATAAGATAGAAATATATGTATATAGTTTTAATAATAAAAAATAAATAACATATCAATTCTCTTAAATTCTTTTCTCATTCAATTTAGTTTTTAAGTTTTTTATTTAATCTAAATTGGCTTTTTTTTAATAATTTAATCTAATATTTGACATTATTGATAATATTATTTTTAAATAATATTATTTTATCAATAAAATTGTAAGGATAGTGAGATTCAAACCTTAACCCCCCTAATAAGAGGACAAACATCTTGCCATTGGACTAGGTATATTAATATATTAAAATTATTAAAATAAAATCAAAGAAAATATTTTTTATGGAGTTTAAGATTCAAATCAGTAACATTTCATAAGGCTATCCAAATGATTAATTATCACACGAAAAAAAGATGATATTTTTCCACTTCATTTGAAAATAAGAAATAATTATTTATATTTTAAAAATCAATATTAAATCATTATAAAAGTTAATATTTTTATTCTTGAAGTATTAATTTTAAAAAATATAAGGAATTATTTTCTTATTTCCAAATGAAATGAAAAAAATTGTTTTATCTTTAATTTAATAGTTATATAAGTTAAATAATTTTAATGAAACGTAAATAGATTCTTGACCTTGTTTGGTGGTTGATTATCTGGATAGTTTTATGAAATATTACATGTTTGAATCTTAAATTTAATAAAAGTTATCTGTTTTGTGATATTAATTTGGTATAATTTAAATAAATATTCTAGTGATTAATATCATTAACAAGCTTAACTCAGTAACTAGGCGTTGGATCCCTTCTAAATTGCTGCAACTATATTTACATGCATACATATACTTCATCAAGGATGAAGTAGGAATTTAATGATAAAGTAAAGTTATAAAATTTTAAGATAATTTATAAAATTTTAGAAGGAATGAAAATTATTTATTAAAATAAAAATATAAAAAAATATTTAAAAGATATATAGATTTAAAATTTTCATGACAAATATCCTCCACTCTTCTCCTTCAACCCATCCATATACTTCATTATTTATATTTTTTTATAGAGATAATGTGGGATTTGCGCTCTTGTTTTTATGAATGTTGGCATCATGAAGTATTTATTGAATAAATAATATGGATTAGTTGGGTGATATTGACGCTAATAAATCAGTCATGTTATTTGTTGAATAGACTTATTAATTTTTTGTTTTAAGTTACATTCATTCAATCATATGTATTAGTTTTTCAACAATTATCTTCATCATATATCAAGTCTATTCATAACCTTTTAATTCATTTTCTCTATACTATATCAAAACTAGTTGAGGCATAATTTAGACACAAATTTGAGAAGAAGAAAAACTTAAAAAATTCATTGTAAATTCATTTTTTATGATGGTATATAAAAATAAGATCGTTTTTTAATGTTCACTATTATTGTACTTATCAATGTGATCATTTGTTGTTGTATCCTAAGAGACTAACGTCCAACGATACTTAAAGAACTGATGAGATGATAAATTTGTCTTAAGAAAATTATTCATAGGAGTCTTAATAGAAATTCTTCTTTTGTTTATTTAACTCTATCCGATTTCATGTTTTGTTTTAATTTTACTTTCCTAATTTTATTTCGGTGTGTTTGTTATGTTAAACTATAATTTTATTATTGCAGCGGTATTATATTATTACTATTAGATTATTTTTTACAACAATCTCATATCATATTTTACTACAAGATTTGCATAGCAAGAGTTGAATTTAAGAATTGTGTTTGGATCAGAGGAGAAGAGTTAAAAGCTGAAATCTTGGGGAAGGTGGTAGGAATTAATTTGAAAGTTTAAATTATAAGAGGATATCGGGCATGAGAAATAAATCTCGAAAAGTTGAAACGTGTGCAGCTATGAATCAGATCTGGTGAGATAGTAAAAAGGAATTTAAATAAAGGTTGTACTGGATTTGAAAACCATCATTTATGTGTTATCTGTCGTTCAAAAGTTTCACGGTCCATGACACGTTTCCCGTGAACAAATCTCACCTCAAAATGGACTATGGTACGTATAGAAAACATTCGACATATAAGGAAGGAATCATTTGAGAAGGGACTTCTTGATATCATTGGCTATGTTTTGTGCATCAGAGCTTGCCCCATACAATCCTCTTCTCGACAACCCAACGCAGTACAATCCGTTGTTTCCCTTCCAGTGGTTTGGAAAACTCGGTTTCGGAATCCCGTCGCCGTTCAGCAGGTAATCATCTCCCTGTCCCAATACGAAACCCCTTGTTTTGGTTAATCTTAAGGCAGTTGTTTATGTTGGGTTTCAATCATTCTTTTAAGGATACAATATGCATGGTTACCTTAAGCCACAAATGCGTGGAGCGCTTGAAGCCAGTGCAGAACACGATTGTGTCGAATGCATGTGCTTTGCCGTTGTCAAACACCACCTCATCGCCTCTTATACTCGATATAGCTGGCAACACCTACAAAAGGAAGTGCGCATGGGTGTAAAGATGATCCCGTCTATCCACGAACCTCCTTTAAAAAGAAAAACAAGTTCCCTCTATACCATTAACAAAGCAAAGGACTGCTAAATCGGGATGGACACTATGTTTTCTACACGTCTCGAATCTAAGTTATTTTATGGTCATGAAGAACTAATGTTATATCTCTCTCGAGAATAACATTTCCACTCGCTATCTATTTTGTCCCGTACTCTCACGAGGACAACTACACGATTAAACTTTTGACGGTCTCACTTAATTTGGTATATACAAACTTATAAAAGTTGTGATCATTTTATTTAAATCAGTCTACAAACACTATCATTATCAAGGTCTGACATAAGAAGTCCTAAAATTGAGATATTTATATTTCGAGAAAAGATTAAGAAGAAATTTTTTTCTCGAGCTCTCATCCACATTGCTCATTTTCTCCTGCACGCTTCCCCTTTTCTCTCTAACCCTTCTAGAGAAACACCGATCAATAATTATTCTCTCGATGGTTACAGCTCTTTGGTCAAACCAACATCCAACGAGATGAATTTAATTCATCAACAAAATATATATATATCCAATAAAAATAAGAGAAGTTTCGAACATTGAATCTTAAAACAGAAATGAAAGATTAAAAAATCTCATATTACCTGAATCTCCTGTGACTTGATCTTGCTATAGGTTCCTACATCAAAAACAGGGTATTTGCCATAGGCAACTTTCATGAAAAATGGACCCTCCGTAGGCCTGATAATCCCATACTTGCTCAAGTCCCCATAAACAAGTTTGCTAAGCATGATCATCAATGAGTCCACCACGTTTACGGGAACATACTTCAACAGATTCAACCCCAAATACACCATTTCCCTCGAAAGAATATGAACCTGCAACACATTTAAAACTCGAGTTCGATTTCAAAAATCTAAATAATCGGATCGGCACGTTCATTACCAGACTGCGAACAACGATCGATGTTTTGGCGCCGTGATTCGCAAGGTCTAACGCGATCTCCATGCCGGAATTACCCGACCCGACAACCAAAACGTTCTTGTCTCTAAACGCCTTCCCGTTCCTGAACTGAGTCGAATGAAGAACGAGACCGGGGAACGATTTCAACCCTTCGATCTCGGGCGTATGAGGGTTGCTTGCTTCTCCACTAGCCACAGCCAAGAACCTCCCTTTAAACTCCTCGTCTTCATTAGAATCCAAGTTCCTGGCCTTAACGATCCATTTCTCGGTCGCTTCATCGAACTCGGCCGACTCGACGCATCGACGGTACAGAGGGGTGATCTTGAAACGCGAGACGTAGTCGTCCAAGTAGCTTATGAATTGTTCTTTGGAGATGAACCGTGGGTACGAGTCGGGGAACGGGAGATGGGGAAGCTCGCAGAATTGCTTGTATAAGTGAAGGTGGAGACGATCGTATGAATATTTCTTCCAAAGGGAAGCGAAACAGTCTTCTCTTTCGAGGATGATGTAAGGGATTGAGTTGAGGTTAAGGGAAGCGGCGGTGGCCAGCCCTGAGGGGCCGGCCCCGACGATAATGACCGGTGATTGTTGTTCTTGCATTGTTATTATTATTCTCTCGGTTTTCTGGTTTGGGCAGTGCCAAATTAGACAGCTAAATTGGCTTCGAGGGCAAGGAAGGAGAAGGCAGTGCAAAACATTGATGTGTGGGGTAGTAGCTTTATACTACATTACCGTATAACACAAGTCAATATTAAAAAAAATTGATAAATTGTCTTTATTTATATGGATATTATATAGTCATTTTTATCACTTTATTTATGATTATTCGTAAAATATATTTTTATATAAAACATTTTCTTTTGATTACTCCATTTTATATTAGAGATGTGATAAAGATTTAGTTTATAGTAACTATTTTGTTTAAACACAGAATTCTTATCCTGTACATGCAAATAAAATATGGCCAGTAAGGTGATAATTAATGACAACCAATGATATTTGATCCACCACTTTAATATTCCCTTTTAAATTTATTTATTTTATATTGGTAAATATAAAGGCAGACCAAGATCGGTGGCTACCGCTTTGAAAATTCTGGTACATACCCTAAGGATAGATCTGGCCATTTATGTGTTACTGTCATTTTTTAATTATTTTTATATTTATTATTATAAAATGAGTTGGTATTATAGATTTATTGAATATCAAATTAATTAAAAATATTAAAGAAAAAGGGGAAAAGGGTATATTACAATTTACAATGTTAAAAGGTGACATAACTTGACGTGCAATTCAGGCCTTATATATATTTATGGACAAATCATATCAATAGCATAATTTGTATTTAAGTATACTATTGAGCATGCAGCCCCTGTTATATATGCCTAGGATTGGTGGGGTTTGATTAAAGGAAAAGAAAAATAAATAGCCCAAAATCCCCTTAAACTATAGCTTTATGTTTTATTTTATATATGTGCAACTACAGATTTTATATTAAAAGTTAGATACAAATTTTATGTGTTAAACTAATAAACTGGTTGCAAAAAGAAGTCTTATTTTAATGCTAAGTGATATCCAAAAATATGAAGTAAGCAAATGTTGTTGTTATATATAATGCCCAAAGTTGAAGCATTGCATGTTTAGGGGAAAAGCAATAATGAAATAAAAAATCTTGTGGCAAATGAGTAGTTGTACACTTGAATTTCCTTCAAGCTTTGATAATGATGTTGTAGCCACAATATTGACGATCCTTCTTTCAAATCATTTATTTTTTCTTAATTACAGGTGTCTTTATTTATGTGTTGAAAAGTTCATATTTGAATTAATTTTGTTGAGTCAAATAAAATTTTAAAGATGGTAATTTTTATCAAATATTTGATATATTAATTTATTTTTCAATTTTTAAACTTCAAATATTAATTAAATTGGAACAATCTCCTATCAATTGATCTAATTGCTTAATAATAATTTGCACTCACTTTGACAACATGTTTAATAGAGACAGAGGGGGTGTGGTGGAACTTGGTAATAGAGTTTGAGAGGTCAATTTAAACTTTTTAAAAAATTATATTTAAATTAAAATTTTCAAAAATTTTGAAGGATTCAATTTACATGTTTTCAGAAAAACTGAGATATAACTAAAACTTTTGAAATTTTAAGAGGCTTAATAAAAAAATTTAACAATTATGAGAGGAATTTAATTAAAAATTAATATGGAACAGAAATTCTGTGAGGGCTCAGTTAAATTTTTTAAAAAGGTTAAAAATTTAAATTATAATTTTCAAAAAAATTTAGAGTCGTAACCCCGCTAGTCTCTATTATCTTCCGCCATTGTATATACATACACGTAAGTTCCAATTTGTCAAACTTAGAGCTTACGCATAGATATAAGATGGAAACTAGTTAGCGTGAAAAGAAATTATATATATTTTAAATATACATGTGAAAATTAATTTTCGTTCGGACAATAAATTAGATTTTATTTTGTTTATATGTAGAAAAAATTACAAAAGAATTACCAAGTCTTGGAAAGGAAGTGTCGGGTTTGGTGTAAAACGGAAGCAAAGAAATTTGTTTTTATTTTTCCATCAGATTCTAACATAATATATGTTTTGTTTTTCCCGTGGTAGGTGCTCTTCTAACAACTGAAAAAAGGCAATGTCAATCCAAGGTTTTCTCGTGGGTCTTGTTTGTAAGAATAAACATGATGATCGCATGCAGTAAACTTCATCATCATTGCAGATTCTTAAACTACATGAATGTTCACTATACTTTTAGGGTGCTTACATATTGGTCATGCAACTTTTAAAATTTACAATACAATCACCGAACCTTTAGTTTGTTTTCAATAAGGTCTTTGATGTTACCTCCCATTAGTTTTATCTGACGTGACACTTTACTGTTATTTTTCAGCTTAAAAAAATTAAAAAAAAATATTCTCAAACGATATCGTATAAAATTTCGGAAAAGTTAAAAGGGTTTACAATTCTTTCATCAATCAAATGACTTTGATAAATTAGGTTTAATTTTGGTTTTCTTGTTTAAGCTTTTTTTTTCTAGATTATCAGTTGTTGGTGGATGAAAATGAGGGAGAGAAGGACTCGAAGTAGCAAACATAAGGAAAAGCAAAAACCTTAAATTCTAAATTACCCATTTCTTAACCCAACATAACTATGTACAACAAAACCCTCCAAACAAACCACCCAAATCACTAGCTCAAACCTTCTTCCCCTCTCCACGGATCTCATCTTTCTTAGCAAATCAACGATAACAACACGTGAACGTGGATTCAATAGGGGGTCATACCAAATAAAAAAATACAATTTCTTCTAAACACACACATGGTTAACGCACTCAAAAAACTTCCTTCCACAATTATTATTCGTCCAAGTTGTGCATAAGGTAAATGACATTCCATAAAACATTTTGGGATTGCAGTTGGTGTATTCATTGCTAGCTTCGATTGTTGATCAAACAAAAAGAATAAGAGAAAAGGAAAATATGATTTTTAGGGGTTTTAGTCAATTTTGAGTGAGGAAATTTTTTTATCAAGTTAAAATGGGTTAAATTATTTTATTAAGCTGAAAAATATCAGTAACATATCACGTCAAATAAAACTAACGAGAGGTAACGCTAGGGACCTTACTGAAAACGAACTAAACGTTTAGTGATTGCATTGTAATTTTTAAAAGTTGGGCATTCAAAATGCAAGCACCCTAAAAGTTCGGTGATCATTTATGTAGTTTACCCTAAATATGAAGAAACAATGCCCTCCATTTGTGGGATATAGCTTAAAATCATGAACATGTAGGAGATCTCATACATTGGCCTTGAAATTTGTAATATGTTAAGCCACAACCAAATAAAACAGAGGGAAAAAGTTGTTTTTATTCACATGTTTGGTCAATGAATTTTTGTGATTTTCTTAGTGTTATCATTTTGGCCAAACATGTTACACGAATTTGTCGCTAAAAAATTTAGTGGAACGTTGAACGACTTGTGGAGAACTAAAACTAATAAAAATTAAAGAAATTTTAAGTTGAAATAATAATAAAACTATTTTTTATCCCTTAAATGTATAATTTGTTATTTGATCTCTATAAAGTTTATTTTTTTAAAAATATTCTAACAACATATAATGCTGAATTCAATCCATTCAAAATAACCCTTTTTCTTTTCACATCCTTAATCATGGGTTTCTTTAGGTTTAACTAATCATTTTTTAGATATATCATTCAATTCATTTTTTTTACTTTAATTACTTGTCTAGTTTAATGCTATGTCTTTTGAGGTAGTTTAAGAAGCTTTTTAACTTGTTCAACTCTTTCTTAAAAGTCAATCACAAAATCAATTGTTTTAACTCATTAATATACAAATTCGAATTAATTAATTAATGGGTAACATATCGAGTAATTATAAAAAGATATTTTTTTTGTTTGTTTCAATATATTGAAGTATGCAATAGTCTCTTACCTAAAGGTTTAAGAGAATCATGAATAATTTGAATATTGTAAAGATAAAACTCACAAAATTATACTAATGAATGAATATACATTTCTATCCTAGTTATTGAATAGTCTAGGGAGATTACAATGTATTATTTGTTTAGAATATTTCTTATTCGTTAACAATAACTCTGTAGACATAAATGTTCGATATCAGACTAGAGAGTATCAGTACCCAAAGATGGACCTAGGTGGGGGCGGTTGTCCCCCTAAAATTTTAAAATTATCATATATTTTATATTGAAAATCTATTTTCCACCCTTAGAATTTTATAAGTTCAAGTTTACCCCCTAAAATTTTATAAGTTCAAGATCCCCCAACATAAAATCTTGTGTTCATCCCTGTTAATATCTGATGAACAATATCAATACCAAAAGTTTGATATTAATATGAGAAAAACAATATTGATATCATATCAAAATCAAAACAACCAATTAAAATTGAAGGGTTGTTTTATTTAATATATATAATGGCTCGTTTAAATAAAATGAGAAAGTTTTAGTAGTTATTTGCATACAATTAAAGCTTAAGCACTTATTTTTTTTTAAATTGTATATAAAGACTTATTTAAATAAAAGGACAAAGTTTAAAGCTTCTTTAATAATTGATATATTAGCCAGTGGAATATGAAAAATTCTCTCCAATTTATAAGCATTCACCCCAGTTTTAATTGATTCCCAAGGTTACTCCAAAATTATAGAATAAAACATGTATTAAATGGCATGAGAAGAGTAATTCTCAATGTTAAATTTTGCATTATCAGTGTATGGGATTGCTTTTATTGCAGGTTGTGAAGACTAAAGGATAGCTTAAAACAATCAACATGGAATGGTCACAGCGTAGTGGGGGTTATAATGGGCTTTTAGCTTCGGTTTTGGGATTGGGCAAGAGGGTGTTTGGTTCAAAGATTGAATCTCACATTCCCATGTTTGGTTGGTCGGGAATCTCATTCTCGGTAATGTTTTATTACCAATAGTAGATTTTTTGGGTATATTACCGGAAATGCCATTACCTCCCTTCCCTTTGGTATTGTAACATTACCGGCGTTTTGGACTAAAATGCCCTTAAATTATTATTTTTTTTCAAAAATATTCTTATTCTGTCATTGAATAATAAAAATTCTACGAATGTTAAATTACAAATTTATCCTTAAATTATTTTAGATTTACAAAAAAAAGTCTATAATTAAAA